CAAATCCACCAAAAATACAAGTTGAAATCTTCAAATCCTCCAAGTATACAAGTTACATGCCTTAACATGGAAAAAATTGTCCCTTTGGACCTTAAGCTGGTCTTTTCACGGATTTATCCTTCGATGGATCTTTAAATTCTCATGTCTTAAGGTGGACAAGATTTGTCCCTTTGCACCACAAGCTGGCCTTTTCACGAATTATCCTTAAAAGGATCTCTAAATTTTCATGTCTTAAGGTGGACAAGATTTGTCCCTTTGCACCTTAAGCTGGCCTTTCCACGAATTTCTCCTTAAAAGGATCTTAAATTTTAATACCTTAAGGTGGATAAAATTTGACCTTCCACACCTTATGCTTAAGTATTCGGGATCTTGAAAGGCCACAAATTAGTGATCTCAAGGCGGAGATGTTAAACACATCCCTTCACACCTTATGCTTAAGTATTTGGGATCTTATGAAGCTTCAACTTACTGATCTCAAGGCGGGGACGTTAAACACATCCTTTCACACCGTATGCTTAAGTATTTGGGATCTCATAAAGCCTCAAATTAGTGATCTCAAGGCGGGGAGGTTAAACACATCCCTTCACACCTTTTGCTTGAGTATTCGAGATCTCATAAAGCCTCCAATTAGTGATCTTAAGGCGAGGATGTTAAAGAAATCATTTCACATCTTATGCTTAAGTATTCGGGATCTTATAAGGCCTCAAATCAATGATCTCAAGTCAGGGACGTAAACACAACACCTTATGCTCAAGTATTCGGGATCTTATTAAGTTTCAAATCAGTGATCTCAAGGCGGGGACGTTAAACACATCCCTTCACACATTATGCTCAAGTATTCAGAATCTCATAAAGCCTCAAATTAGTGATCTTAAGGTGGGGACGTTAAACACATCTTTTCAAACCTTATGCTTAAATATTTGGGATCTTATAAAGTCTCAAATTAGTGATCTTAAGGCGGGGACGTTAAACACATCCTTTCACACCTTATGCTTAAGTATTTGGGATCTCATTAATGCACAAATTTCAAGATTGAATTTTGTTATGATAAAACTCTCCATTGCGTAGCCTCTACAAAATATAAATGTTGTTTCAATCGATCAACAAAAAAAAGACAACACAAAGAAAATACAAGTAAAGGAGAGGTTGTTTCCTGTCAAGACGTTTGAGACTTGCAAGCCAAGTTAAGATAACTAGGTTAAACTTGAGACAATATTTTCTTGGTGATAATGAAACTCTTGAAGTATAGTTTCCGGCAATCACAACCCTTTTTGGTGATGACGTTCCGACATCAAGATATAAAACATTTTGAGGTAACGAAAATCTGAAATCATCTATGTGACAGAATTTAAAGTTAACTTCAAAAAATTGTCTAGAACGATATTTAACGAGTTTCAATCCAAATTTCGGATATGGTGTAGCCAATCGTATTTACTTTCTATAGAATCAAGAGGATTGTAATTTCGATACTTCTACCTTGTGATACAATTTCTTTGGTGTCATCGCGCAAATCTAAAACTGTTTGTGCGCCAAAATCTAAAACTAACTTCATAATAATATCTAAAATAATCCTGAATGTAGTAAATTTTGAATTTTGAATATATTGTAGACCTTTATGTCTAAATTTGAAATAATCAAGCGGCTTGTGATTTCGTCGTTCCTACATCAAGATACGAGCATTGTAATAAAGCCACATAAATCTGAAATTTTCAACATGACAAAATTTAGAGCTAACTTCAAAAAATCATATAGAATGATTATGAAGGTATTTTATTTTGGATATGTTATAGATCAATAAGTCTAGTTTTTGAAAAATCAAATTGTTCATGATTTCGACATTTCTACGATAAGATATTAATTTTCTACGACAAACATGTCAAGCTGTAAAAAAAGTGACGAAAATCAGGAAAAAAAGAGAGGAGAAACTCCAAAAGTGGTGATGTTGATAATGAAATAAAACGGAAGAGGAACATCTATGTATAGATGTCATGTGATGAGAATAAAATCCTTCTCCTAGTTCAATTACAATTCCTTTTTGGCTAAGGCGATAGAAAAACATGTAAATATGAAATTGAGTTTAATTACAATTCTTTCTTGTTTTAATTGGAATTGAAAATAAAATTAAAAAAAGGAACATTTCTGTGTCCTAATGGATTCAAAACATATATGTTAGTTTTCCTATTACAATTGGAAAGTGGCCGCATGGCGTAATTACTGACAATCTTCTTCTTCACTCCAATTATGTTGGAGTGGTGCAATTATTGTGCATCTCAATATTAATGTTGTGCAATTTTTGTCTAGATAATACTTCAAGCCTAGTCTTCAAAAGATAAAATATCTCGACAAGTCTTGAAGCTCAGGGCATTTGTAATCATTTAAAATTTATTAAATATAAATTTATAAAATGATTCGGATTATATTAAATTAATGAATATTTAGTCCAAATAAATTATAGATTAGTATAATTGGGTTAATTATTAAGTCCAAAAAGTATAAATTTAATTGAAATCCAAATTAATTGATTTGGGCTACAATAGAGGAGCCAAGTTTGCTAAGTCCAATAACATTTCATCCTAGAGGCCCAGTTTGGTGCCACGTGGCAAATGACGTGGCATGTTAAGTCAACCAAAGAAGCCAATAGGATCATGTCATGTGTCAAAATAACAAGCCCGCTCCATAAAACTCATATGTCATGTCACTTAAATCTGACTGGGTGAAGGGAAACTTGTTCCCATCGCAACTCTTCTATTCTAAAAACTATAAATAGGGGTCCTCACAAACGCCATAGATTTCTCTATAAACTACAAGTTTAAGAATTCAAGTTCAAGAACGATCAAGATAAAGACCACCGGATTCAAGAACAAGCTTGAAGTCAAGATCAAGATAAAATTCAAGTTCGTCGAAGATTCAAGAACAAGCTTCAAATCCCTTGAATCCAAGATCAAGTTCAAGACAAATTCAAAATCAAGCTCAAGAGTCCTTGAATTTATATTTGAAAAGACAAATCAAAGGAATAATAGATATTGTAACACTCGCACTTTGAAATCAATAAATACGATTGTTACGATACTTTTTCATTCTTGATTATTGTTTTCTCGATGTAAATTTTATTGTCTACAAAATCTGGTACTTCTAGTGGGACCAAATTTGTCCTTCATCTCTTCTCTCATAAATCAAAAAATCGGAAGCCGCAAAGGTGGAAGTATGATCAGTACTTCAAGTCTTGTCTTTGAGTTTCATCAAGTCCACACTCCGACAAGCCTTGAAGCATGAGGCATTTGTATATATTGAAATTTTGTGGGACTCTACAAGATGTGTTCAATTCGAGTTGGGACTCTACAAGATGTGTTCAATTCCAATTAGGATTCTTGGGAGCTACTCAATCCAAAGCCTAGTTCATGCCTATATAAAGGGTAATATATTTCCTTGAAAAAGCATCTCGAATATTCTGCAAATTCATGTAATATTCATAAGGAGATCAAATTCACATCATCCTAGTTCGAGAAATACGCCACTAACGGCTATCGAATCATGGATAAATATTTTATGAGAGAATAATCAAGGGAGGAACAGAATTATACATGCACTATTTATCAATAAAGTTATGTTTCTTCATATTTTATTGTGATTGCAATTTATTTTCTATCACTTTAAAATTTGTTGCAAACATTAATATCTTGGTGTAATAATGTGTACCTTACAAAAATTGTAGAAGTTAATTCAAATATCTTGGTGTAATAACATGTGTACATTACAAAAACAGTGACCGACCCTTCGGGGTGGCCCAGTGGTTTGGGCTTGGGACTTCTATGTTGGAGGTCTCAAGTTCGAACCCCAAAGCAAGGGGTTTGCCTTCTGGGTCGAGCTCGTCGCACCGGGCTTGCCTAGTGCGGGTTACCTCTCCTATGTGGTTTGTGAGCTATTGCATAGGAGCGAGGGTTTTACCCTGTGCGCACCCAAAGGGTAGCGGCTGCGGGTTTCCTTGTCATAAAAAAAAACAAAAACAAAAAACAGTGACCAAGCAATAAATTATGGAGAGAAAAGAAAAAGTAAAATACTTCAAAGAAAATTTAAGATGCAATGTTCTATGGTGTATAGTGCTTACAACCCAAAACATGAAAGATGCAACCCTCAATCTATTGGGGTATTAACCACATTAGACTTTTGTCCTTGTAATCGTTCCAAGGAATTTAGGGTCTGTCTCATGTAAGGCGAGCCACGAGGTGAGTCTCAGAGATTCCTAACTTTGCCTTTCAAAATGATGGTTATTAAGAGGAGACCTTAATTTATTGCTCAATGTTACCGTGAGAACATGGAGGTCGCCAATCACCATTCTATTTGTTACCATCCCAAAAGGGAAAAATTGCATGTGAAACTGTATGTAAGTTTCTGCATTACATAACATGCTGTAACATTTGCTTCCCAAATATAGACGTCTATATTTCAGAAGGACATAACCGTACAGGTAGGTATCTATATTATGGTACAGGTGTAAGCAGCCTTGAATTTTATATTCAGATTTATGAGGCAGAACATCTGTTTTTTCAAAACAGTGGTGTTCAGACCAACTAACGCTCAACTTCACTATCCGGTAACTGCTATCTCCTGCCAGCACAGGTATAAAGTAACTCTTCCCACCAAGACTTAGACAGATGAGAAGATATCACCTAGTGTATTTTTGTCTCTATAGGAATTTGGGATTCGAACACTGGCCTCCAAGGTTTACACCCACTTCATTGACCACTAGGCTACACCTTGGCTTATGAGGTAGAACATCTTCAAGCATCAAACCACAATCCTTGACCTTAGCTTAGAGTCTATAACGAGTATCATTTCATTGGCAGATATATAACTAAGCAAACAATGACTGCTGATGAGAGCATGTAATAACATATATATTTATTTACAAGTAGGGTTTACGGTTTTGGAGATCAAAAAACAAACATATGAACATACCAGTAGTTAACTAGCAATATTTAAACAACAAACAAGAGACAAACCTGAAATCGATGTTCGAGCAGAGTTTGGACGCCGTTGTTGAGCCAGTGCAAGCACTATGGCATCCTCAACCTAGATCAGGAATATCAGTAAATGGTAAAGTAGTTCCCTATTCTTCCAACTAAAAGGAGAACAAAAGAATACCCTGGTGGACATGAAAGAGATATTATATATTCTTTTGAAAAGGGTAACTTTACATGCAAGAGATTATTTACACCTCAAACTATTCTAGAGGAAAATAGGAAAAGAATGGATTAAAGTAGTTGATTTCATCCTTTCAATATGAACTTGGTGTTCCAAATCCGGAGACTGGCCTGTGCCCAATCCCTCGGCTGAACACCATAAGTATCATAATTTTTTTTTCAAGCAAAAACCAATTATTTTCACCTTCTGTAATAATCATTATGATACATATTCAGTAAGTCCCTTCTTATTTTACCAAAATTTTGCCTAAGATCAACTTAAGGCATTACAAATTCATAATATCAATCTAAACTGATCATATTCTTTTTAAACTGCAATGTAGAAATTTTAATGCTTAAATTGATAAGTGGCTTGGTGAAGAAATGAATGAGCATTGGAATCTTTAATTTGAACAAAGAAAAATGATTTGCGATGCTAGTGATAACAGAATTAATAACCTTCGTAATAAACAACATGAGAAGTACTTAAAAGCTAAAGTTTAGAAACAGGTTAAGCAATGCATGTTCTACCTAGTTCAAGGAACTAAAGAAAAATACAGGAACAAGAACAACATAATGACTCTAGTTATTAGAGTAACCTTCAAAGAAACAAGTTCATTCAAACCCATTTCAACAGAAAGCATGCTTTCTATATTTCCTTCTCCAGTGAGATCATTCAAATCCTGAACAAACTTTCCCCTCTCTGGATTGTCATCACCTGCAAAAGAGAACATTGATTATGCCCATTCAAAATATTTACCATGTGATAAACCCATAGCTAGGTAATCCACAAAATCAAATAGAAAACCCATAAATAAATCATGCTTGCCTTTTTCCAAACATTCTTCCTTTGCCTTTTGGCCAGCAGAGATAACCAATTCAAAAGGAAGAGGTGCGAAGGATGACCAGTACTCGTGTTTTGAAGCAGCAATATCTGCACAAATGCCTGAAAGGAAAAGCAGAGCAACATTAACTTGAGACTCAAGAGTTCAAACCGGTAACATTTCTTACATATCTAAAGCAATGAAACAAGAGTATAGGGACACATGGGGTCAAAACTTAACAAAAAGTAAAGCATTGGGTGGATAAGAATGCAATTAGACAAGTACAGAACAGTAGACAACATTCATGCACTAGAAATAGCAAAAAAAATCTTCTCTGCCCAATTTATGTGATGGTATTTGACTAGGCACAGAGTTTAAGCATGACAAGAAAACTTTTAAATTTGTGGTCTCAAATTAGCATATTTGTGTGGCTATAAGTCATCTCATTAAGAGTAAAATGAGAAGTTTAACATCAAATTATTACAAAATATAGAAAGGTGTCATTCTCTTAGAAACTGACCTAAAAGTAGAGAGTGTCATAAAAATTGGGAAAGGAGGGTATTAAAATTTTATTTGTTTTGATAAGTGTGGTGTCCAGGCCAGCTTGCGCGCACCTCGACTAATTCCACGAGGTCGGGGTACCTACATCCCACCAGCACAAATACCAGGTAACTCCGTTGCCATGGGTTGGATAAATGAGAAGAAATTGTTAAGATATCCCACATCGGTAGAGGGATGGGAATTTGGTCTCCTTATATGGACTTGGATAAACCTCCCCTCATGAGCTAGCTTTTGGGGTTGAGTTAGGCCCAAGATCCATCTTTACATGGTATCAGAGCCAGACCCATCCCAATTTGTTGTTCACCATGATGAGCCCCCATTTAGAAGTGTTCACGCTCCAGTTGAGGTCTGGGCGTGCAGGGGAGTGTTAAGATATCCCACATCAGTAGAGGGATGGGAATTTGGTCTCCTTATATGGACTTGGATAAACCTCCCCTCATGAGCTAGCTTTTGGGGTTGAGTTAGGCCCAAGATCCATCTTTACAGAAATCACCTAGTGTTTTTGCCTAGGACACTGTGGGGATTTGAACCGGAGACCTCATGGTTTCCAATACACTTCATTGACCAGTAAGCAACACCCTTGGGTGCATTTAATTGATGCAATCCGTTACGAAAAGTTAATCTCTTTTGGTATAGTTGTAAAACAATGTAATCATAGTTAATTTGCAAGTAATCATAGTTTGCCTGAGCCGAGGGTCTACCAAAAACAACATCTCTACCTTGTAGGGGTAGGGTTTGTGTACACAGTGCCCTCCCAAGACCCCACTTGTGGGATTTCGCTGGGTATGATGTTGTTGCTGTAAGTTTTCTAGGTGAATAGTAGTGCCACTACTATAAGTTCCTTCTTTGTAACACTAGAGGAGTAAAGGCACCTGCTTTCAATCTAGCTATTTTTCAAATGTGCAATTGCAATGTTTCATTCTTCTTTCTTGATTCACTATCTTGTGTGCCCTTTTGTCTTTTTCCTTTTTTCTTATGGGTGCGCGTGATGGAAGGGTTTCAGGTACTTCATATGATAAAACAATCGGAAAATCAAATACAATAGTTACATTGGCATAACTTGGGTGACTTCATAAAACTATTTCAAATCTATAGCTAATGATAAAAGGTCAGTGTAACTGGTAGCAGTATACAGGAAACCAAAAATTAATGATGAACCATTAAAGGAAAAAGAAAAGAATCGGAGTCAAGAAAAAAGATTTTCTAATTCAGAAAAGAATAGAGATCATGTTCCTTCTCAAAAACAAAGAACAGAGATCATGTTCCTTCTCAAAAACAAAGAATAGAGATCATGTGTGTGACTAGGAAAAAGACAAAACTCTGATTCATTACTTACCAAACTGAGTTGCTAAACCCCAATAACGTGCAAGCCAGCATCGTTTAAGAACAACATCTTCCTACAATATAGTATGCGAGGAATTTATTTCTATGATGAAAAATTTTGCATATGAAGAAAGCAGCATCAGAAGGTGCAGCTAGATACCATCTCATTCTGGGTTAAAATCATCCTTTGTGTCATTGAGCGTAGAGATTTAACCTCAGACTCAGTCCCCTGAAGTTGATCTACAGCAGCAGCTGCGTCATCTTTCGCTTTCTATGTCAAATGTAGTAAAAAAGAATTAGATAGAAAACCAGACATTGCTGTAGCAAATGGTGGTGATGTTTACCTGAACATTAGAGTGGAGACTTGCAAGTTCCACAGCTATCCCATTCTTTGCTTGTTTTGCATCTTTCAGTGCAGCCTGCACCAGTTAATCTTTAGTTGCTTTTGGGGCGTAAAACATTATTTGAAACTGAAGCACACTTGAAGGCAGTTACAAGGAGACAAGACAATGCTATTGTAACATGTCGGCATGGTATTTTGAAGAAGACTTTAGACAGTTTAACATATATAGTTTTTCACTTTTTTGAGCAGGTAACATATGTATTATAAACAAAGAACTACTCCAAATAATTAGTCCACACATAATCTAAGTTGCTCGGACTTGGGTGCGGGTATCCGACGTGGATGCGAATCCAAGAGTCATATTCAGCAAAATCTAAATTTTAAGATTCGGGGGTACGGATTAGGAGGTATTACCTATGGTTTAAATTCCTTTTTCAGAACTGTCATTTCAATAACTGCTGTGATCCTTATTCTTCTTCTCCTGTAGCATACTTTGTGTTGTGGTAATGTGGTTCTCTTTTTCTGTTCTTTTGATTTACAGTTTAGTGCGAATTCTTGATCGCTGTTTCTGATCTGCAATGTAGTTCAATTCATTGATTACTTGCTTGCTTCTGATTTACAGTATAGTTCAGACTTATTGCCTGCTATCTTGCATTTCAGATTATACGTTTGAACTAGTTTTCCTTAGTATTTGCCTTTGTATTTTACACCTTCTTTGGTGGCTTTGGTGAAAGATGATAGACTAGGGCCATGTCTTAGGTCGAGGGCGAGGGGTAGGAGTGGTAAGTTTCCCTAGGCTGAGGGTAACATCTTGGAATATAGGGTCTTTGACGGGGAAGTCCATAAAGCTAGTGAAAATTCTAAAAAAGAGGAAGATTAATATAGTGTGTTCAGGGAACAAATGGGTAGGTACCAAGGCCTGGGATGTGAACAGGTTTAAGTTGTGGTACTTGAGAGGCTCAAGGGATATGAATGGAGTAGGCATTTTCGTAGACGGGGACCATAGGGAGCAAGTGGTGGAAGTTAGGAAGTTCAATGATGAGATAATGACAATTAAGCTAGTTGTTGAAGGACTTACTTTGAACATTATTAGTGCTTTTACGGGCCACAAGTAGGTTTGCACGAGGAGATCAAGAAGCACTTTTGGGAGGACTTGGATGAGGTGGTGAGGGGTAGACTAAACACCTAAGAGATATTCATTGGTGTAGATTTCCAATGGCCACATTGGGGCAACTTCCAAATCTAACTTCCAATGGATTTGACAATGTGCATGGAGGCTTTGGTTTTGGAAATAGAAATGGAGGTGGAACTTTGCTCCTTGATTATAATAGAGCTTTTGAGTTGGTGATACCTAACTCATGTTTTCCGAAGAAGGAAGGCCACTTGGTTACCTTCCATAGCGTGGTCGTTAAAACTCTGACATATTACTTTTTCTTGAGGAAAGGCAATATATGCCTTTGTAAGGACTACAAGGTTATCCTGAGTGAGAATTTTTCTACCCAACATAAGTTTTAGGTGATGGACTTGGAGATTGAGCAAGGGAGGAGGAAGAAGAATTCATGACTGACAAAGGATTAAATGGTGTGGCTTGACCCCTGCCCTCTCTCAGAATATGGCTGAGAAGTTAATGGTGATGGGGCATGGAAGAGTATTGAGGATGTGGAAAGCATGTGGGATAAGACAGCTAATTGCATTAGAAAAGCAGCTAGAGAGGTGGCCAAGGGTTTCGAGGGGTAACATTGGTGGTTACCGAGGGGATTGGTGGTGGAATGGAGAAGTTCAAGGAAAAGTGGAAGAAAAGAAGCCAGTTTATGCAAAGTTGGTGGAAGAATGCAAGGATGAGGAGGAGAAGCAGACAAATAAGAAAATTTATAAGGCAGCAAAGATGGAGGCTAAGTTAGCGGTTACAACAGCAAAGACGACTGTAAACTAAGCTAAGGGACAAAGGTGAAGATAAAAAATTGTACAGGCTTGCAAAGGCGAGAGAGAGAAGAATGTCGGAGACCTGGATCAAGTGAAGTACATCAAGGATAAGGACGGCAAGGTGTTGGCGGAAGAGACCCTAATTAAGAAAAGATGGCAAACTTACTTCCATAAGCTTTTGAACAAATAAAGGGACCGAGACATTCTGCTAGGTGATTTGGAGCACTCTGAGAGACATCGGGATTTTGGGTACTGTACGTGTATTAAGGTTGAGGTTAAGTGCACTATTAGTAGGATGAGGAGGGGAAGAGTGATAGGACCGGATGAGATTCTGGTGGAATTTCGAAAGGCATGTATGGAGTGGTTAATTGGCTTGTTTAATGTCATTTTAAGATGGCTAAAATGTCAAACCAATTTGGATTCATGTCAAGGCAATCGACTACTAAAGCCATCAATCTTATAGGAGACTGGTGGAGAAATACCGAGAAAGGAAGAGCGACTTACATATGGTGTTCATTGACCTTGAAAAGTCCTACAACAAAGTCCGCAGGAAGTCCTTTGGAGATGTCAAGAGGCTAAAAGTGTATCGGTAGCTTACATCAGGGCAATTAAGCACACGTATGATGGAGCTAAAATGCGGGTTAGAACGGTGCGAGGAGATCTGGAGCACTTCTTCGTGGAGATGAGGTTGCACTGGGGATCAGTTCTTAGCTCGTTCCTATTTGCCTTAGTAATGGATGAATTGATATGGTCCATCTTAAATGAGATGCCTTGGTGTATGTTATTTGCGGACGAAATAGTATAGATTGATAAGATGCGCAACGGAGTTAGTGCCAGGTTGGAGATGTGGAGACAAGCTCTAGAGTCTAAAGGGTTCAGGTTAAGCAGGATCAAAACAGAGTATTTGGAGTCCGAATGCAGTGATGCAACATGAGGCAGTTGTGGAAGTGAGGCTTGACACATAGGCTATCCCCAAGAGAGATAGTTTCACGTATCTTGGGTCTATAATCCAAAGAAATGGGGACATCAACAATGATATCACACATCGTATTGATGCGAAGTGGAGGCTTGCATCCGAAGTCTTGTGTGATAAAAGAGTACCACCAAAATTTAGAAGTAGGTTTTATGAAGTGGTGGTTAGACCAACTTTCTTGTATAGGGCAGAGAGTTGATCAGTTAAAAACTCCCATGTTCAGAAGATGCTTGTTGCGGAAATGAGAATGTTGAGGTGAATGTGTAGGCATACAAGGAACAATAAGATTAGGAATGAGGATATTCGAGATAACATGGGAGTGGCCTCTGTGGTGAATAAAATGAGGGAAGCGAGATTGAGATGATTTGGACATGTGAAGAGGAGATGCATAGGCGCCCTAGTGAGAAATGAGAGAGGTTGGTTATAGTAGGTATGAGGAGAGGCAGAGGTAGGCCGAAGAAGTATTGGGAGAGTTGATTAAACAGGACATGGAAAAACTCAGGTTATCGAGGATATAACCTTAGATAGGAGGGTGTGGAGTACGTGTATTATGGTATAGGGTTACACTAAGTAGTGGAGTGTTGTCTTTCTTTTCGAGTATTTAGGCTTGTTGGTGTTTGTTGTTGTACTAGCCGTATTATTGTAGTTCTTGCTATTGATATCTACCATCGTCTGTTGTTTATTGTGTTTCAATTATCACACTATTTTGTTATTCTTGTTCTTTTCTTGTGGACTTTGCACTGCTTCTCTTGTTAGTTGTCATGTTTTCTCCTTTTTTGTACTTGAATTTGCTATTCTTGTTCTTCTTGAATAACACTATTTTGTTATTCTTGTTCTTTTCTTGTAGACTTAGCACTGCTTCTCTTGTTAGTTGTTATGTTTTCTCCATAGTTTTCTCCTTTTATGTACTTGAATTTGCTACACTTGAGACAAGGATCTTCCGAAAACGATCTCTCTACCTCCACGAGGTAGTGGTAAGGTCCGCATACACTCTACCCTCCTCATACCCCACTTGTGGGATTCCACTGGGTATTATGTTGTTGTTGATGATGATGATGTTGTTCGGGTACGGATCCACGTATGGATACGGATGGTAAAATTTGGCTAAAAAATCCAATTGATAAAATAGAGTTTTTTTTTTTTGAAGCTTGGTAACTTCCAATTGATAAAATAGAGTTATAAAGATCTTCTAGGTTTTCTTCCCCAAGACCCCAACTTTTTCTTTCAAGCTCTCTAGTTCTTCCCCTCAAAAAAAGAAAAAGAAAGTTATTTGAGGCCTTCCACCAACTTTCCTTACCGATCGTTGCTATTGTCTACTAGAAATCAGAACAAAACTACTTGAATTCTTAGTTTCTCTCTGTCTGAAATATGAAGCAGCGAATATTGACCAAGAGGAAAAGCTAAAAAGGAGATAAAAGGACTATAATATTGAAGTTATGCCATTTCTTCTGTCTTTAAATCCTATGTTGCTCGGACTCTTAAAAAATGTAACGGGTGCATATCGTGTCCTCCAAAAGTAGTGTATTTTTGGAGAATCTGACATGGGTGCGGCATCGAAAGTGAAGAGTCTGCCCAACTTAGCTTAAATCTATTATATCTTCTATTTTGAGAAATCAAAATCTCAACTTTCCCCCAAATTTGTCCATGGACTTTGGTCAAAGTATCCAATGTGGTTGACTGAATCCCATATGTATCCCACACCGGCAACCGTCTCGTGTTGACACAGGTGCAGCAGCAAAAATGAAGAGTCCGCGCAACTTAGGTAATTATTACAAGTACAGTTGAACATACAATTAATAACATAATTTCAAACTTGAACATGAAAGTTTAGCGAGAATAAGCAGGAAAATTAACATACTCTACCAACTATCATGTAGCATACTAGAAATAATAGAATGGTCCATGCTACTCTAACCATGTTTGTGTGTGTGTTTTCCTCAATATGTGGAGTCATGTCTAGCCACACAGGCCAAGATAAACTTTTTCATTTACATTCTGTTATTAGTTGGATAAAGAATGACTTCTAATATTTTATGCTTTTTAAGTAAACATCCTCTCACACAAAAGACCAAAGGAATGTAACCAAATTAATCTGCAATTAACTCAAATATCCAAACTGACCTCCCTTTGGCGCAAAGAGGCTTCCTTCCTGCAATTGATAAGATATCATGATGTTACAATACATGCATATCCACCAAAAAGGTTTGCATAAATACAAATTCAGTGGTAAGAGAAAGATGTGGAAGACTTTTGCCTGCTTAACAACTTTGCTTCTAAAGATACTCCTTCTCCAAGTGCTGCAACCTGATGCATAAGAAATGCCTTTCAACTGTCAAAAGAACTTGAAGTTTAAATTAAAACATATGTGGAGCATAAATCACAAAATGAGAATTAATAACATTTATCCCAGCAAAATTTCAAAATAAGGTGTCCATTATCATTATCATCTTATGACTTCTTTTTCGGATAAACGAGGTGTTCATCAAAGAATGACACGCTGACTATAATCAAGTTTTTCCTCTCTTATTTTTGAGAATGAAATTTTTTTTTTGAGAATGTATTTTTTCCTCTCTTATTTTATCAAAAGACCAGACAAAACATAAGTTTATTCCTTTCATCCTCTTTCAGGTAAACCAGTAAATTCCAGTAATGAAGCACTGAGGCTCTTATACACAACGGGAAAAAGCAAATGAATGTTACAAGTATTTAAGAGTAACAAAGAGGAAGGATTTGTGCACAGTTTGGGAATAGTAATGGCATAACCTGTTTCTCAAGCTCCTTCACTCTAGCTTCTGCTTCCTCGTAACTCGTTTCGGCAACTCTAAGCTGCACAGAATTTCTCAAATTCAGTATAAACACATTCAGAGATGCATGTCTTAATGCAAGTAAAGCAGAGGAAAAGAACTGGTGAACGTGCACCTTTCCAAGAAGATTTTCATTTTCTTCTTGTAGCATATCAAACTGCCCAAAAAAAATTAAGGATCAGAGCAGAAAGGGCACTGAAGTTAAGTGATATATCCAAGTAATTACATGTATATAGAGACACAACAGACACTTTACGTGTCTAATGACTGAATACTATGCATGTAAGAATAGAGAATTGCAATTTGATAGCACAATGAACATACTTCATCACGAAGCGCAGAAGCAGCACGGTGATCTCCTGTATCTTTCAAGTTAACTTGTCTTAAATCTGGAGAGAATCTGCATTGCGCATTAGATGATGAATGCAGAGAAAAGGAACTGAATCATGCTAAAGCACCTAGTGCATATATATGAAGGAAGCTCATGTGCCTGAAGACACACTTGGACTGCTTCATTGTTGCACAATAACAGAACTACGCAGATGTACAGATTATTAAGCTAGTTCAACATCTTTTTGAAACGTCATAGCAATAGAATACAATCATAAAGCGAATATTGTGGGATCTAAAAGTTGATTAAATGACACGATTACAAGAACTTGGCAACTATGGAATACATGACAAGTAACAGATACAACCTACAAATAAAAAGCAAAAGTACATCGTTTAGACCCTTTGCTCTAGCTGCTTGTTTGTAGGAGTGTCAGACTGAAAAGGAAAAAGGAAAGATCAGAAAAGAGGTTTTCACTATTAGTACCTTTTCTCTCTCAGCTTGTTGGTTGGAGGATCGATTGGTGGTATAGGTGAAGGAGTCTTCACAGGCTGTTGGGTACTTGGTATTGACGGTGGAGGACGAGATGGGACAGTTGGTCTTCCTGCTGATGTTGAACGAAGAGACGGCAATTCCTCAACAAAATTCCTAGCTAGCTACTCATAGAAGCAGGAAATGGAAACAATTACCATACAGAGGTAATCAGAGCCAAGAAAAATAATGTGCTAATGCTTATGCTCTTTTAGATTAAATTTGTCCAACTATATCCCTTCTGTACTTTATATTAGAACTTTTACGACAAACCCAGGAACTAAATCCTAAGAGATTTAACAACTATTCAGTGTCTTGAGCTATAGTCACTTTCTGAACAGAAGATTCAATCTTTTTACCTTACGGTTGACAACAGACTTATATAACTGAAATTACGTACAAATGCAGTTGAATTTGAACACATTCATACTGGATTGTACTTGATTATCTAGGTAGAATTCCAGAGGCGGTCAATATTTCAGAACTCTCCATCAAGTGAACAATAAAACTGACAAAAAGTAGCACAGCAAAATACTGGATAGATCGAGGTCTTGAAATTACCGCAGGTGAAGATGATCTGGTATTTAACTTAGCCGACTGAATAGCAGGGTTGATAGCATTGCTATCACTAGAGCTATTGGCAGCAGTGCTGACCTTGGACCTGGAAAAAGTGGGAGGTGGAGGAGCGGCAAATCGGAATCCAAGATCATCATCACCATCTTCATCGTCATCATTGCCAGTGGCTGCTTGAGAGGCCATGACTTGAGCAAGGCGCTGGGCAGCAGCTTTGGCAGCAACATTCTGAGTGCGCTTAATGTTAGACATTCCGGAGATAGAGGAAGAGCGGCCATGCCTTGGAGATGAAGAGCCGACAGTAAGAGCGGCCATGGGAGCTCCGGTTTCGCTGCTCCATTTCCTTAACTGCCTCGGACTTGCAGTTCGAGCTCGATCCATTAGTACTTGAGTTCAGTACAAAATCATCAACTTAGAAAAGAAAAGCAAAGATGAGCGACAATGTAGTGGCCTAGATTTGGGAGTTCATTTTCGAGCGCTACAGCAGCTTGTCCGCCGGAGAGATTGACGGAGACAGATATTTCCCGTCTAGTTGGACCGGAAAATTGGTTGGAGTCTTTTCTTTTTCTTTTCCGTCACTACCTTAACACCTTGTTTGGATGCTTGTTAGTTGTTACCTGTTGTATTGTATTGTCTTAGTTTAAGTATGTTGTTTGTTTTGATTGTTACTTAAATTTTATTCTATCGTATTATTTAAATTTATCGTTAGGCAATAACGAAATGACTCATTTTACGTAAGAACTGATTTGGTGTGATCGCGTCGTTACCTTAGTATTTCCTTTTTATTTTATCTTTATTTATTATTTAAATAATTATATTTCATCTTTTATTCTACATTTTCATACTATTTCTACCTCATACCCTACTTTTCTTATAGGTTTATCATCCAAAATTATGAATATGAGTCATTATGTAACAATGGAATACGATACAATCTATCCAAACATTGTATTCATTAAAATAATACTATGTGATACAATACAATACAATACAACACAATACGATTCATTATGATACATTATAAAACAATGTGTAACAACCATCCAAACAAAGTGTTAGTAGCAATTCCCAAGCCCAGAATTACGTGCCATTGTATCTCAATAAGATATTAGGCAGTAAATCCACATTAGCTCAGATATCATGGTCCTTGCCTTGACAAGTTGGACACTCTCTTTTCGGTGTGGGAGCAGTACCCTGAACTTCATTTAGTAGCTCACATGGTTTATGTCGATTTTAGTATCTCTCACAAACAAGTATGTTTTCATATATTGTATGACATTGTATATATGTATTTAAAATCAATATGACTCAGTTTTCATGTTATTTTACTTGGACATTGTATCCGCATGTGTTTACAAACTTATTATGTTCAGATCTCATGTTTATTAAGCATTTCTTCATACTCAATACATTTCAAACTGACCACATATTTTTCTACCTATATTGTTTGATAATATATGTTCTGTTGTTCCATATCCGGCCTGCGGTTAGTACAAATTTTGATCAGCTTGCAGCTTTCTTGGTGAGTCCTCATCTCCTCAAGGACGCCACTTATGTCCCTTTTTAGACATTACTTTCAGTTTCCAGATTTGTAAGAGTTAGCTCTAGGCTTGCCCCTAGCAACTCATGTTAGTAGAGACTTTTAGATAGACAGCTAGGTTCCGCTTTGTTATGTTGTTTCCAGACTCGGTCTATGTTGAGTTTATGGGTACTATTCCAGATATTTCAGTTTTAGCTTCCGCAGGTTTATCTCAGTTTTGTGTTGGTTTTGCTATTTTGAGTGTCATGTTATTCCATGAGGTTATCTTGGAATCACTTGTAGCTCTAAACACGTGTCGCGTCTAGGGGATAGTCTCGGGGCGTGACAATTCAGAATGAAATAAATAACATATCATGACCCTACGTGGCATAAAGACTATGAATCACTCTCCTGAAGAGAGTGAAAAGTAAAAACATTATGAAAAATTGTTTTTATCATTTTTCCATCAATTGTTTTTTTTCATGAAAATATCTCTATCTGAAGGTTCATGAAAATAACTATTTAGAAGTACTGAATTGTATGTGAAAACATGTAATCAAAGTTATTCATGAAGAAGAATGAAAATATGATGAAAATTATGATTTTCATAAGAATTCTAACTTCGGTTAAAATCATTAACTGAAGAACTAAGTTTATTTTAGGACTCAATGGGTGAAAGGATACTCATCGATGAAATCCTACATACTTGAAAAGAAAACACTAAATGGAATTCGTGAACTCGAAGTTTGAAGATGTGGAATCTTAGTTCTTGCTTGAGAGAACTTGAAACATATTGTCTAATAATTTTAAGTGTTAGGCGTTGAGAGGGGTGGTTCTAGTCGACTGATTTTCCCTTAATCTCATGTAGGATAGGCCAAAAAGTCGTGATTTAGGAGTTAAAAGAGCGGAAAAAGACCAAAATAATTCTGAAAGAAAAATTGTTGGAACAGTCCACTAGGGCCATCAATGTTCCGTGGAATGAACTACGGTCTGTAAATGTCGTCCATGAAATCCTTCAAATTTCAAATCTATGAAGTTCGATCTATGAGACTAGTCTATTATTCGTGGTTCTATCTACGATCTGTAGATTGAATCCATAAATGTGAGGCAGTAGAAACAATAGTTAAGTTTTCCTGCACCTCACTTGATGAGTTCAATTCATGGCCAGTGATTTCATTTATGATTCGTGGTTTGATTCCGTGAAACTCAAGTTGAAAATAAAATTTCTAAAGTTAATTCACGAGTCTCATCTACGATTCGTGGACTGGTTTATTGCCTATACATGACGTCCGTGAATTCAAATTTTATGATGTCATTAACCACTAAATCATTGAAGTTCTAATAGGTATGATCTGATTAACTTTGGATTTTCTGAGGTGTTGTAATTTTTCCCCTTGAGAATAGTCTTCCTTAAATGGAGTCTAAATAAATTTAAAAGAGTAGGAAAAGAGTTGCAATCTCAAATTGAAAGCTAAACACTAAATTGGTGGAGTGACCATCCCCGGACTGAAATATGAAGACTAGACTGATTTCATGAACATGCATGCACACTAAGACATGAGAATAACTTAAAGACATGAATCTGAATAGAGTGTTATAGAGAAATTATTACCTTATGCTGGAACTGAACTGGAAGGTAAGAGGTGAGGGTACTTGGCCATCATATATGTTTATGCTTGCCAAGTAGCTCCCTCAACTTGATGATTTCTCCAAAGAACTTTCACTGAAGTAACTTTCTTATTTGTCAACTTACGAACGTAACTGTCTAGGATCTCAATTGGAACTTCTTCATAAGAGAAATTATCCTTTACACCAACATTCTCTATAGGTACAATTAAAGTCGGATCACCAATGCACTTCTTCGATAAGGACACATAAAATACCATTGTATATATGTACTAATGCTTACTCGCGGGTAAATCCAACTCATATGCCACATTACTAAAATGCCTCAAAATCATTTAGGGACGGAGCTTTCCTTTCTTATCGAACCTTATCACCCATTTCATGAGTGAAACTTTCAAATAAACACAATCATCAATATCAGCTTCAAGCTCTCTTCTACTCACATCTGCATATGAATTTTGTCTACTCTAGTTGTCCTCAATATAACTCTAAAGAGTTGAACTTTCTCCATAGCTTCATGAAGTGATTCAGGCCCTATTAAATCCATTTCACCAACCTCAAATCACTCTATAGGATATCTACGCCTTTTACCATAAAATGCTTCAAACAGAGTCATCTGAGTGCTGGAGTGGTAACTATTATTATAAGTGAATTCAATCAGAGGTAAGTAATCATCCCAATTACCTTTAAAGTCAATAACTCAAGTTCATCCTCCGAGGTCTGAATAGTCCATTCGGCCTGACCATCTGTCTGCGGTTGAAAATTTGTGTTAAGCTTAACTTGAGTATCAAGACCAAACGACTTCAAAAACTGAGAGGTGAACTAAGTACCTCTATTTGAGATGAGAGATAAAGGAACCCCACGCAATTTCACCAACTCTCGGATGTAAAGTCTAGCATAATCCTCGGCTGAATAAAAAGTCTTAACCGGTAGGAAATGGGCTGACTTAGTCATCCGGTGTACAATCACCTATAAAGTATCATATTGTCGACGAGTGCGAGACAAACCTTTAATAAAATCCATGTTTAAATCCTCTCATTTTCAAGTAGAAATACTGACATCCTGAGTCATACCTCTTGTTTTTTTATGTTCAACCTTATCTTGTTGGCAGTTTGGACACTTAGCCACAAATTCTGCGATATCCTTCTTCATACCATTATATCAATAAATTTCTTGTTGATCATGGTACATTTTAGTGGCTCCTAGGTGAATAGAGTACCGGAAACTATGACCTTCTGCTAAGATTTACTGCCTTAACCCATCAATATTTGGAACACAAACGGTTATGGTAACGAAGCACACCATCTTTCCTCTTTGATAAAGTCTCGTAGTCTTTTTAAAGATTTCTTTCTTCAATTCAACCAAGGTTGGTTAATCATTCGGCTTCTCTTTAACTTCCATCACAAAACATTATTCTGGACTAATAACGCTCAACTACACTTTATCCAATTCTAATTGTAGGCGGTCGCAATCAAGTATAAACCCAACAAAGAGTTGGGGTCGATCTCATAGGGAGTGGTACGAAATAGAATTCAGTTACAAAGTAAAGAAAATGTTCTAGTCATTTGTAGAAGTAAACATTATCAAAACACGTTAAAGTAAATTTCAGGGGTTGACAATAAATGTTAGATGGGGGGTTTAGAGTGAGCAATTAACAACTACAAAAACAGGGGAGTAATCAAGTAGAGAGGGATTCTCGGGGATGTGATCGATTAAATGCTAATTTTTCTAAATGGGTGATTATAAATTACTAAAAGACGTTGAATCTTAGAGAGTAGGCTAGGCTAGGTTTTAAGTGTGATAGCCATCTCTCGATCAACTAACATGAATCGGGCGAGTTCTCTCGAACCTCGACAAGCTTAACAATATGAGCAGCCCAAAACCTCAATTAATCTACTCTCTCTCGAGCTAGATTGGTAAGATTGAATTCAGATTCACTCTCTCAAATTGAACCAATGATAACTCAATCACTACAATCATCAATCGATAGTCTTAATTCTAAAACCTTTTTCTCAAGCAAGCCTAGAATACTAAATTAAAACTACATTTGCAACTACAATTCATGGATTAAAACACAACTATCAATAAAATTCACTTCAAATCAACATTGAAATCAGTAAATACTAACACCCATAAGATAATTAGAACATTTAATCACATAATCACACCCTAAGAAAGGGGGTTTTAGCCACACATTATAAAAAGCAAGAAAGTATTACCAACTATACTCTTCATCAGCTAGGTAACAAAATTCAAGTCTTCACAATGCTTGGAATCAACTTAAAATCAAAACCCAGTTCGAAATTCTACTAAAAAACTACTAAGAATAATGTTTGGATAAAAAACCCAGAGTTAGAATGTGTCTCCACTTTCGGAACTTTCAACTCTCTTTAAAACTCTTTTAAAAATCACATTTATACTCTTCCAGATTTTCACCCTTTGGA